TTGGTAAGCAGTCAAGTGTTTAGGCGAATCCTCTTTTAGAAAATTTTCGCTATACAAGATGTTGTATAAGGCGATGCCTTTCTAGGAGATAACTTTGAAACCATTATTACTTAGATAGCGACAGAAGGATGGAAACATCTTCAAATTGTAAGGTAAAGATAAAATATTACATGTATGTTTAAATTGGATGTGAAGATCATCATTTGGATGAAAGAGATTATGCTGGAGAAACATGCAGTCAATTTATTGATAAATAATAGATTTTAAATTTCACCTCTATAAATCGACGGACTGTTGCAATAAGATGTCGCCATTATACTACCACAGTTCTGTTGAAGTATGTAGAGCTTGGATAAAAGAAGCGGTTGCAATTATCTATCTTGCCGAAAAGGAAATAGCCATAGAATTTTTGATAAGGGTTTCCTTAACGTGACGTCTAGGATATCACTGGTATTATTCTGCTCTTCTGCAACTGTAAAATCTATCCTCTTTTCATCGTCAAAGCCATTAAGGAAATCAAAAAGAGTATATGAAGATTGCTCTGATTGAAAAAATAGAAAAATACCATCAGTGTACTTTCAATGGTATGAAGGTTTAGCATCAGAGACAGAAATCTAAAGCATCGGATTCAAAGTTATTCATAAACATTTCCACGATGGTGACGCTGAGAGGAGATCTCATAGCCATACCATGAGACTGATGATAAAATATTCTGTCGTATTCAAAGCAAGTATATGAAAGAATCACTTTAAGAATATTCAAGATTTCTGGAACGGGCAAATCTGTGAGTAACGAACCTTCATTTTTACAGATGTGTTTGGTTTCTTCTAACATCTTTTGTGTAATGGAAAGAACTTTGCTCACAGAGATGTTGTCGCAAAGGCTTTTAGCGTCGAATTTAATTACTTGGAAATAGTAAACAGGGTAAAGGTTAAAATACTGGAGTTTTTTTAAAATAGTCTTTACCATTCTTTACCGGGTGAGTGCACAGGTCAACTGTAAGTTTCAGTATGAGATCGATACTATTGCTAAGATGGAAAAGAGAAGTATCACAAAATGAAACAATACACCTTTGTAGTTAGGTCATCTTTCGCAGTTTAGTGAGGCCATATGATTTCGCATTCCTTATGGTTTCTTCTGATAGTAAAATCAGGTAGAATCGCAAAAAAGCGAGAGGTTTCCGAAAGGCCCAAGTATTTTTTGAGAGACTCTAGTGCATTTTTATTGATCCGTTTTTCCGTAGTTTAAAATGGACGCTGCAGTTGTCAAAATGAGGCTTCAATGTAGATTTGTAGTCTTCCACTTTCATAGCAACCCTGTTCCAACTTTGTCGACATTAATAACAACTAAGCCATTGTTTTTCAGCCTCATGTGGCATAAAAAAGGCACTTTTATGGTTGTTTGAATCAGCTGCCACCGGTTGATTATGATGTTGGAAGTGTCGCAACAATTTCAACATCGTAGTTTACAGCACTCTTTCTTTTTCTGATAGGTTGACAGTACTTCATCACAGTTCATTAATGTCAGTTAGCTACATAATTAAATGAGAGCGATGTAGATGTGATGTAGCCAATTCCAATCGAAGTTCAGCTGCGGTCATATTGTGATATGACCTAACGCAATCATCACGTCTAATGCAAGTCTCGATTAACGAGATAAAGACAATGAAATAAGGTTTCGTTAAAATTAAAGTTTACGCTTTGTGCTACCTTATCAACAATCAGATTGTTAAAGACGAATGACAGTTTTAATGCGTGCTTGCCAGATATAGCCGAATGACTCGCACATTGCAACGTTGCCATATCAAATTATTGTGTTGTCCCGAGTGTTTGCTAGTTTAATGACTTTATACCTATTTCTCGGCTGGCTGCGTTGAAGCGTGTCATCGTCGTTTAGGCTTTGCGCCGACGATTGCAGTGCCTAATCTAATGATATCCGTAGACTGCAAGCGAAATGATACGATTGTAAGTTTGTTGCACTGGTTCCGCGAAGGAATACTGACTGAACTGTTGTCGTTTAGGAGTATTAGGAGCTTCCTTCACGGAAACATCGAAACATAACAGGATAAATTCGTAGCTGAAAGAAATTGACGGCTACGTTTACGCCTTGTTACAGTGCGTGATAACGCGAGTAAAATTCGAATATCATTAGCACCCCGAACTTATCAGCAGTATTATGCGACTCAAATCCCATCGATTTTTCGATTACTTCGCATGATTAAATGATAGCATCCCATCATGTTGTTCTCCATTCGTCTCGAATCAAGTCAAAAATCGAAGTAATTCCTTTCCTCCTAGGAGGCGAACCGGCAACACAATGTTCTGACTAGGCATGCACAACACCGGTTTATTCATAGCGTATATTTTTCCTTAAAATGTGTTCCGAAAACTTATTTATGATCGATTCAACGGTCTTGCATTCACTATGCGCTCGTGAAGAAGACGTTTGGCTTCAAGCTATTATGAAGTTTTTCTCCAGACCAAGAATCTCCTTCAGGATCAGAAACTGTCGTGACATGACTGATTTTGCTCGACTTTTGCCGTTTAAGCACAGACCGAGCCAAAGTGCTTTTGCATTAAGGAAGCAGTGGGAATTAGGCGAAAAAACCCCCGAGTGACGGCTGGTCGGGACAGATTGATTAGGTGTTCAGTTGTCACGGCTTGCCATTGAAACTCATCAGTCGCTGTCTGCATCGCGCACGAGTAACATCCTTTTAGCTGCTTAAATCAATAATTAGCGACTACAAAATCCCTTCATCCTGGCAGTTGTGTTTGAAACACAGTGTTAGTGGAGGCATAGGAAGGTCTTATGTAAGGCGTGTTCAAAACAAAGTCAGCTAATATAAATGTTAATTTGAAATGGACGGCACAATAGCAGCTGCCGTTTAAACGTTGACGTCCGTACGCGCTTTACTGTCGTGTCCTGTCGCCGATCCCGGAGCAGAGCGACCCGCGAAGTCGGGGGTGTGAGTATGTGAGGGGGGCAACACCGCACCACACGACAAACACTCAGGAACGACGATGAGTCAATTGCTTCGCAACTACTCGCTGGCTATAGCTCAAATGAGTCAGATCTTAAGTTGACCAGCCAGCAACGTCGATGGCCACCGGCTGGTCACCAGACGGGACGCAACGCCTCTCTGTCACGTCTCGACAGACATCGATACATTCACCGCTACTTTTCTGCAGCACTATTAACACAGTTGGATAACAACGACAATAGTTTCGACTGCGCCTATGTTAGTGTCTAGTCTTGCCACAACTTGACTTGTCATTTCAGTGAAAGCCAACAATTATCTCAATGCCGTTGAAGTCTCCCAAAGTTGAAGTCTGTCGGTGCTAAAGCGTTTTACACTTATATTCATTATTATAAGGTCTGCAGCACGGTCTGAGTTGTTGACAGTTGCTATTTGCCAATTCAACGCGTTGTCACTTCCCACGTTACATTTAGGATGAGTTCACGATGCAATAAATGATCGGGCTACTGCTCCTGTTATGAAATGCTTTAAAGTTGTTTTTCAATTGATTACTTTCGCAGGCAAAACATCATGTGTTGCGCTTGTTCAAGATCTGTTCTGTCCAGTCAGTATTTAATCGTGCGACCTGTGCTAAAGGTAACCAATCCTCTGCTTCGGCAAGCGCTTTACTAGCCCGTATAGTAAGGGCGTTATTACTGAAACCGTCTGTTTGACTTTAATAAATGGGTGCTTTGAACAACGAAAATGGTTAACGAACATTCGGCAGTTTTTTCAACCGGTTACTGTGCATGTAGCTCAACAGTAAGTACATGAATTGTGTCTGCTTGCATAAAAGAATGCCAAATGTAGCATTCCAAGCCGTAGAGCTACAGAATAAGACGATGCAGTAACTTACTAATCTGAGCATGAACAGTCAATTTCATTGATGATCAATGGCCTTGAGTTACAGTATGAAATCAACTAGAAGCATAGCAAGATCCTCAGTTACTAGTTTCTGTCTGTCAGGTTTAATTGGATTTTGGACACCTATCAATTTATAAGCAGTCTTTATTGCCTGTTGCCAAATAAGCGCGATAAATATTAACGATCGTGTAGAGTTGTTGTTATTAGATTTTGTTCTAAACTGTTGCCATGATAAGTCGTAACTTAACTTAATTCTAATTATGAGCGTTTCTTCTAATTCTTTCTGCGCAACTATTCAAGTACCTTCCGCCTAGCGCCTCCTCTGATCAAAGTTTTATAAAGTTCACTGTCCACTTTCGACGCAGCTTTCTTGTCGCCTACACAATAAGGGCAGCATTTTGATATATTGCTTCCGAATGACAAACTTGTGCAATACCGTCGAAAT